TACCAAGTGGAATATTTTTACCTTTTAATTTGGTACATGTTCACCAGTGCAGTCCTCAAGCCTCCATGTTATTTGTTTGACAATTCCTTGCCTATGATCTTAAAAAATGGTAATTACTTTTTTTTTTAAACATTCAGCTCCCCTAGACTTATTGGGGATTGGATTTGGCAACTGAACTTCAGTAACATTCACAAAGAGCATACCTCTAAACTGATCCCAAGTACATTCAAACTATATTATGTCTATATTACTTGCAAGTGATTTAAATTACTTAATGTGTTCTAAAAATGACAGCAGGAATCTCTATGAGCAGCACAAATATGTTCTATTTAAACTCAGCTGTATGCAGGGGCAGACTGACCATTTGGAAACTTGGGCACTGCCTGAGGGCCCGGGGTCAGTAGGGGGCCCCATGAGATGCCCCTGGTGCCTTTTTCATAGGCTTGTTTGAGTTTGGGCAAGGACTCAGGGGCCCCATGATTCCCTATTGCCCGGGGGCCCCATGAGTTGTCATTCCGCCCCTGGCTGTATGTAAACCCTAACAATGAATTTCTCTTATTTGCTCCCTTTTGGTTCATTTTTGTCTCACTTTTTGGTCAGTTACATATACAACTTACTATATCTTTGGTACACCTCCTAGAGAGCCACTGGTGAACATGACTTTACTCCCTTAGTTAGGACAAACACAACCAGGCACATAGCATTTTCTCCACTCTTTCACTAGTTTAAAGTCTAGGGGTGTCTCTTTTTTTTTGGAGGGGGGGTGGGTTATTGGAACATGGAAATTGGATGGGGTGAAGGTAGCATGGCGTACCCCAGAACTTAAGCATTGAACACTTTGAGGACTCTTCTCTAGCTTGCTGAGCTGCGCATAAATATCCCACAGAGTCTCTAATGTTCATAGGTGACTAGGGTTTTCACAAAGGACCAAAAACTGCACACAGTCACTAACTTCCAGCAATGGGTCATTTACTTACACATTGATTGTCTCCTTCCGATATCCACCGGGCACTCTCCGGTGAGGGAGACACAAACTCACACCACCACAAGACAGCTTCCCCCCAACTTCCTTCTGGCACTCTCTAGTTTGCTTCTCTAGACCCAAACAAACTTCAGGTATAAGCTTTTGTGAATAGCCCCCTAGATGAAGTTTCAGCTGGGACCTTAATGTGTTCTAGGTGGCACCTTCAGAAATCCTACCCCAGGGGGGTCGAGCCCCTATACGGGGGTCTCCTCCAACAGGACTGGACCCAGTAACTCTGTTCTTTCTGCCTCATGCCCCAAACCATTTATGGGCTCTTCCAACACCTTCTGGGTACACCTCAACAAGGATTGGCTGGATTCTCATAAATATTCAGTCTGCTTTACTCTGTTCTTCCCCTCAATATATTTCTAGAATCCTTTAGAATACATGGAAAAGTAATCAGAGCAGTATCCTGTGTGGCACTCTACAGGTCTAAATATTCAACCCCTGCTCCTCCGATTACAGAAATGCTAACTAAATTTACCTAACAGCCTACACTACTCTAGGAGAGTGCTACATATCAAAGCATTCTGTTATCTCTGTTCAATATTTAAAATACTCATTGATCCTGCCATAAATACAAAGCTGTCCTGTTCACACTGTCTCTGTTATCTCAAAAGTCTAATCAACCTTTCCAATTACTTATCTCAGACTACAAAAAGTTCCCTTCTGTGTTGGAATGAGAAGTGAGGGGAGGAATTCCATAGTTTACCAAATGACAACTGGGCAGGGCTGACACCATTTCTTGCCATTTCAGTCAAGAAAAAGAACAGTGTTTCATGTAGCAACAGGAAATTAGGAGTTGAGTGCAATTCTGGCAGATCAACAGGTATTTTTCTGTACTTGCAAGGTCTTTAAAGGGACAAAAAATAAGGAAATGTGCATGCGTTGCAGAGATTTACTGCATATGGTTTTTTTTCCCTGACATATGCTTCAAACTGTGCCTGCATACTATATTGAATGCTATAGACTATTAGGGATTGTAAATAAACCTTGATGGTGTGATTGGGGAATATTTTCCCTTCAACGCGCCAGCTGTTGAGTATCTGGCTAGTGTAAGTGTCAGGATATGTATATTTTACTATGTCTTTGTCCGTCTGTTTGTTATACAAGTTGCTGTTTACATTTGTGTTGTTTGTGTTTTCACCATCCAAATGTATCTGAGCAAATGTACATGTTGAAACAATATGACTCTGACAGCCAAGAGATTAGATGTACCACTAAGTCAGTTGTTGAAATTGGTTTATTTAAACGGACTCTACACTCAGTTTAATTTTTTCTACGTCTATGGGAGGGAAGGGAACGTAGAGTGGATTTTTTTAGTAAGTATGCATTTTGAGTTATTTTTGTAATATTACCTGAAAGTGAGTTTTTATGTGAGTTTCACTTGCTACTGGTGGCCATATGCATATCATTAAACATGATGAACCTTCTTACTTAAAGCTGAACTCCAGAAAGATAATTAAAAAAATAATTCAGCGATGCATTTTGTATATCCCTGAATCTTTCCAATAGCGGGCTCTTGAGCCTCCATTGAGCCAACAGCAAAGTCAGCAGTTCGAACATATGAGAAGAGGAGAGAAAGAAGAAAAAGAAAGAGGAGAGAAAGAAAGAGAGGAGAGAAGAGATAACTGGAGTGGAGAGGAGAAGAGAGAAAGAAGGAAAGGAGAGAAGAGGAGAAAAAAAAAAGGAGAGGAGAGGAGAGAAGAGAAGAGGAGAGAAAGAAGGAGAGGAGAGGAGAGAAGAGGAGAGAGAAGGAGAGGAGTGGAGAGGAGAGGAGAAGAGAGAACGAAGGAGAGAAGAGAAGAGGAGAGAAAGAAGGAGATGAGAGGAGAAAAGAGGAGAGAAAAAAGGAGAGGAGAGAAGAAAAGAGGAGAGAAAGAAGGATAGGAGAGAAGAAAAGAGGAGAGAAAGAAGGATAGGAGAGAAAAAAGGAGAGGAGAGAGATAAGGGGAGAGAAAGAAGGAGAGGAGAGAAGAAGAGAGAAATAAGGAGAGGAGTGGAAAAGAGAGAAAGAAGGAGAGGAGAGGAGAAGAGAGAAAGAAGGAGAGAAGAGAAGAGGAGAGAAAGAAGGAGATGAGAGGAGAAAAGAGGAGAGAAAAAAGGAGAGGAGAGGAGAGAAGAAAAGAGGAGAGAAAAAAGGATAGGAGAGAAAAAAAGGAGAGGAGAGAGATAAGAGGAGAGAAAGAAGGAGAGGAGAGGAGAGAAGAAGAGAGAAAGAAGGAGAGGAGTGCAGAAGAGAGAAAGAAGGAGAGGAGTGGAGAAGAGAGAAAGAAGGAGAGGAGTGGAGAAGAGAGAAAGAAGGAGAGGAGAGGAGAAGAGAGAAAGAAGGAGAGGAGAGAAAGAAGGAGAGGAGTGGAGAATAGAGAAAGAAGGAGAGGAGAGGAGAAGAGAGAAAGAAGGAGAGGAGAGAAAGAAGGAGAGGGGAGAAGAGAAGAGAAAGAAGGAGAGGAGAAAAAGGGGAGGAAAAAGAGGAGGGAGGGGAAAAAGAGAAGAAAGTAACCTTATTAGAGTGCTGCATTTCTTCCATTGTCCAAGCACGAGCTGGCAGTGAGTTGGTGGTAATACATATTGGGATAGATTTACTAAAACTGGAGCACTCAGAATCTGGTGCAGCTGTCCATGGCAGCCAATCAGCTTCTAATTTCAGCTTGTTCAATTAAGCTTTGACAAAAAAACCTGGAAACTGATTGGTTCCTATGCAGAGCTGCACCAGATTTTGCACTTTCCTGGTTTAGAAACTCCATAGTGTATATGTAGTTTACTGTGTATGTAGTTCTTTACCTAAAGCTCAGTTTTAAAGTGATTGTGCATTATTATTATCATTATTATTATCATTGTTATTATTATTATTATTATTATTAATATTATTATTATTTATGTAGCTCCAACAATTTACTTATCACTTTATATTCCATCTGTCCTTAGCCTCAGGAAGTTTACAATCTAAAGTCCCTAACACACATGGATAGATATACTTGCTAGGCAATTTAGACAGAGAGGCAATTAACTTACCTGACAGGAGGCAATTAACTTACCATGATGTCTCTTTGGAGTGTGGGAGGAAATCCACACAAGCACAGGCAAACTCCATGTAGATAGCATCCTGGCTCAGAATCAGACTAGGAATCTCATTGCTGGGCTGTAAGGCAAATATGCAAATCACCGAGCTACTGTGCTGCCCTAATATTGATTCTCTTATCTGTGTCTCTAAATCAGTGATTAACCTTGTATTCTTGGTAGCAGGTAGCAAATGACTACTTAGGTGGCTATCCTGTGTTTGATTTTATGGGGAAAATTGCCCCATCCAATGTCCAGATATTTGAGGGAGAATAAACAAGGACAGTCCTAAAAAATATTATTTTACTTCTTCCAAGGGAAAACAGTCAAAACCTAAAATTGAAGGCACCATACCACCAGATGGTTAACTGCTTTGTGACCATTTCACTCTTCCATAGACCCACAAAGATCCCCTAATCCACAAAACTGCCATGACACTCTACCTGCAATCAAGATCTATTTGCTGCAGCCAGAAAAGAGGGGTGGGGGTGTGTGGATCCTTTTTGGAGACCACCCAGCAGTTCCTTAGTCCCAACCCCCAAGAAGTGATGAACCGAACACCCCCGTGCTCGGTTCTTGGTGAAGTTTAACCTAATGAACGTTCGACCGTGAACTTCGAACTCAATGTAAGTTTATGGGACCCGAACTTGTAAATTCAAAAGTGTCCATTTTGAAGGCTTATATGCCCATAAAATGGGTATGGACACTTGGGTACTGCCCTAAGGGACATGAATCAGAGAAAAAAAATTTTTCAAAAAGTACCGTTTTTTAAGGGGCAGTCGGTTTTCATTGCTTAACTAGTTGCCGACCGCAGATAGCCGAATGACGGCTTCATTGCGGCCGGCCAGTTCTGGGTGGACGTCATATGACGTCCCCCCAGAACGCGCTCTCCTGCGCGCCCCAGGGGGCGCGCACCCGGCGATCTCCGTGATCGCTGTGTCCTACGGACACAGCTGATCACGTGATGTGGTAAAAGGCAGATCCCAGCGGCCTTTTACCACGTGATCAGCGGTGTCCAATGACACGCTGATCACAGGGAAATGCAAGTGCCGGTTCTCGGCTGCACTTTCCTCACGCTGTCAGATCGTGAGGAAAGTACTGCCGAGAACCGGCAGTTGTCACAGCGGGGATCGGCACCGATCATCAGGACACTGATGATCAGTGCCCTGGTGATCGGTGCCCAGCAGTGCCACCGCAAGTTCCGCCCACCTGTGCCCAGCAGTGCACCCACCTGTGCCACTCTGCAGTGTCACACACCTGTGCCCAGAAGTGCCACCTACCTGTGCCCAGAAGTGCCACCTACCTGTGCCCAGAAGTGCCACCCACCTGTGCCCACCCACCTGTGCCCACCAGTGCCACCCACCTGTGCCCACCCACCTGTGCCCACCCACCAGTGCTGCCCACCAGTGCAGCCCAGCAGTGCTGCCAGTCAGTGCCACCAGTCAGTGCCCAGGGGTTGTGCCAGTCAGTGCCGCCAGTCAGTGCCCAGCAGTGATGCCAGTCAGTGCCGTCTATCAGTACCCATCATCAGTGTCACCTATCAGTGCCGCCTATCAGTGCTGCATATTAGTGCCGCCTATCCGTGACACCTCATTAGTGCTGTCTATCAGTGCCGCCTATCCGTGCCACCTCATTAGTACTGCCTATCAGTGCCCATCAGTGCCGCCTATCAGTGCCCATCAGTGCTGCCTCATCAATGCACATCAGTGAAGGAGAAAAAATACCTGTTTGAAAAATTTTATAATAGAAACAAAGAAAATGTTTTTTTTTTTCAAATTTTTTGCACTTTTTTTATTTATAGCGCAAAAAGTAAAGTGCCCAGTGGCAATTAAATACCACCAAAAGAAAGCTCTATTTGTGAGAAAAAAAATGATCAAAATTTCATATGGGTACAATGTTGCATGACCGCGCAATTGTCAATCAAAGTGCAGCAGCGCTGAAAGCTGAAAATTGGCCTGGTAAGGAAGGGGGTATAAGTGCCTGGTAGGCAAGTGGTTAAAGTAAAAACTACTTGCAAAGTTGCACATTTGTACAATGTATAGAATATGCTGCAGCAGGACTGACATTTTTTTTTTAAATTACATTTCTATATATAAAAAAAAAAATCATAGGGTCCCCCTTCCCCAATCCATAGAAGACTCTTTAGGTCTGGTAGGAAAGCTAGGAGGGATCCCACAGTAAAAACTTGTAGGACTTTTAAGGGAAACCCTATCCCCAAAAGATGAGCAAAAAAAGCATGGGGTTCCCCCCTAAATTCCTACAAGACCGTTAACCTGAGCACAGGCCTGGCAGGAGAGGAAAGGGGGGGGGCGATCAAGCGGATGCCTTCTATGCAGCTTACAAAGCCACGTGCCCTCAGCATTGCCAGTGGGGACAAGAGTCTCTTCCCCACAACCCTGGCCCAGTGGTTGTGGGGGGTCTCATTAGCATCAGGGTACCCCTTTAAATAAGGGGGCACCATGATGCTACCCCTCCTTGTGAATGAGTAAGGGGTACCCATACCCATTCACTAAAAGGTTACATTTAGAAAAAATATAGATGCCAGACTTTTGAAAAATGTCTTTACTTGAACAAAAAAAAAAAAAAAAAAAACAGTTTTTGACAAGTCCTTTAATTTAAGAAAAGCCAAAAAAATGGTTCCATCATTATAATAAATATAACAATCACGGCATCCAGAGTTGTCACGATGACGCTGACTTGCCGAAATTAAAAAAACGACTCCCTCCAACCTGTCCGCACCTGCCGAGCACTCACTTCAATCTGACATTCGCAGGTCAGATGTAAACAATTGGGTGGAGCTAGCGGTGATGTCACCATCAACTTCACCACTAGCTCTACCCAATTGTGCTGTGATTGCCCAAAGTATTGCATCTGACCTGTGGTCAGGTGCATTGCTTTGGCCAATCATGGCTCTCACAACGCAATGCAATGTGGGGCACTTGGCAGGCGAACAGTCCCCTGAACGCCCTAATCGTTAGTTTATTCAGGGAATACACGAACGTCCGATGTTCAAGACAAACTTGCGTTCGACTCGAGCATCAAGCCCATCCTTACCCCTGAGGATTTGCTCTACCTTTTGACCCTCGAGAGCCACTCGGGTAAGGCCTCAGTTTTTTCACTTTCCCTGCTTTAACCTTTCCCAGGATTTTTTCTTTCCTTAGTAATGCATCTCTTCTTTTCATTTTATTCCTCTGGGTCTGACTTCTTGTGTACCTTTAACCTTCAAACAACAGACTCATTACACATACCAGACCAGCAATCCCAAATCATCTTTTACATTATTTCCAAAATTCTTCTCTAGTACTGCTCCTTATCTTGAAAGCCGTGGGAGAAAATCGTCCAAAGCCCTCGCAGGCATGGACCCCACAGCCCAAGTCACTTACAACAATTATACGATTAGCAGGCCTTATCTCTGTTTTACGTCTGTCCTTTTTTAGCAAATGCAATAATACCTCATTGAAAATAAACTATTTTGGAAAATTCATTGTCAACAACTGTATATGGTGTTAGAAAAAAAAAAAATGAGATACATGTGCAGTCAATATACTCCAGATGCTGTCTTTTACAGTTTTTAGCTCGGAGAAAATAAAACTTAAAAAAAAATATATATATCTTTGTCAGAATTCATTAGTGTTCAAATCCAATCAAGATGTTCCTGAACTGGATTATGCAGTATTTAACCAATGGAATTTATTTAACTACGGTTTATAGTGGTATTAACACATGGCAGCCTGCGAGCGCAGAGCTATGGCTGTGTTTATAGCCTCAGTGTCAGATGTACACCTTCTTTTATAGGATTATCTATGCCAAAACAAGGGCCCCTCTGCAAGTTATCATCCGCAGTTTGTTAACTTTTTTTTTTCTTCATTTGTATATAAGAGATATTTCTGAGGGTTTAGAGCTTGGAGTTCTTATCTGGACAAAAGCGTAGAAAACAAAGAAGAAAAATGAGAAAAGAAAAAAGACTCTCATGGCTACGACATGATAGATGGAATTAGGAACACATTTACTTTTCCCGAAAAAAATGTGTTATCGTTCCTGTCTCGAAATTGCCGTATGCAGTTGTTCAGTCTTTAGACATACAAATGATTATGTTTAACTGATAGCGGATAACATGTCATCCATGAGACAAGACAATTGATTCCAGGTGACCACGCTGGTCATAAATCACATATGTACAATGATCAGAATATAAAGGAAAAATTGACAAAATGAATATGACATTTGTAAGCCTTATGTACTGCAGCAAAAGCAAGCGGCCAGCTAGTAAGTACAAAGCCATTGTGTATAGGGTGGTGATCCACTACTGTACCCACACATTACCGTCTGTAGAGATCAGAGTAGGAATACTGTTGGTCCAAGAATGGCACTTGGGCTTCTTCAATGTCTATAAGAGGTTTTGCTCTGCCTGGTCCAAGATGAGAGCTCTGTAATGCCCTGCTCCTGATTACAGAATTTTGGAGTGACTTGTACTATATATTCTTTTAACTTTAACTCCAAAAGGAAATGTTTAAGACTAAGGGGAGATTTGAATGGGTTCTCCCTCTCGGAAGAGACATTACAGAGCACAGACGAATAGGTGAGTTGACAGGGTGAATAAGCCGCAATTAGGTATACCACTGTAGCAATCTTGCGCTCAGAGATGGACACAGTGCCACCATTTTGTCAGGCACATCCATTTTGAGAAGAGCATACATTTCTCCCTCAATCCTTTATTCTCCTTCCCCCTCCCTTCCTGAGAGGCACAGTGACAGATATGGTGGGCTGGTTATAGGTCAACAGCAGGGCAAGGCATCCCTAGTTCGGTGCCGAGCAGTCTGCGAAAATGTAGCCTTCCTCACCTAAGTCATGATAAGGCCAGTGTTCCTCAGAGAATTGGGAAGCACTGACCCAAGAACCTGTGTAGGCTCACACATCCTAAAACAGATAAGGCAGCTTCTCCCAGGAATTGAAAGAGATTGTAACCTCATAAAACCTAACAGCTTAAGGTGACAGAATTAAATGAATTCCTCAAGTCAGTTTGTCCCCTGCGTTTCATATCATGGATTATGAAGATATTGGTTCTAATTCAGAGTCCTCCCGAGATCCCTCCCTAAACAGAGTATTGGCCAGTTACTCAAAGGCATCCCCCTGCTGGGGCATTGTAAAAAGCACAGGCTGTAGGCCTGAGGCAAGCTAAAAAGTTCTCCTATCATCCCATCGTAACTTGGATCTGCTTACGGCTAAGGCTTAATTGGCGAATAACTTTAACCCTTTCACCTCTCTCTGATATCTCTTGCTGTGCTATGCTGCTTTCTGTACATGTATATATAAATATATATCTTAGTTACCTTTTCTTTGTAAATATTTTATTGCACCTGTTTAACACTTTCAGAAAGAAAGATTTATTACTAAAAGAGTCAAACTGTTTCTAAGCGCTTACTTGCAATTCACGAATTCCTGCCTTTTGAAGAGACGCTACTGTGTTTGTTTAATCCTCTGCCCAATCGGCCTGCGGTGACCGTATTGGACAGGCGACTTTTCAACCATTACAGTGTATATTGGATAAAGAGAGTTTCCCCTTTCTCTGTACAAAAAGGGGTGGTGGCAGCGAAGGGTTAGTTGCGTAATTATCCTGACCCAGTAACAAGCGCATTCAGGCTGCCGGTGCGTCGATTGCGTTCCATTAGCTGGACAATCGTTGTGCAGGGGGGCAGCTGAGTGTGGCATTGTTACGCACGTCACCTAGCGGTTTTAGATCGGCCGGTCCTTTGGTCACGAGTTTGGTGAGAAGGTCTGGGGTCTGACGCCACGGGCGTGACAACCACTACCGTGGGATTGTTGAACGTTTGGCTGAGGACCTTGCAGGTTTACCACTATAAATAAGGAACACCTTTAATGTAGTGCCTTTGCCCTGCTAAAATGAATCATAAAAGCCAATAATATGAAGGGCTGTATAAACCAGATCCCTTTCTATAAAAGGTGGGCTTACTGGGTTTACAGAAACCATATTGTCAATGTGTGCTGGAGTTTTTAGGGATACCTGACAGTTCTGTGAAAGCAGAGATACTGTTTTATGTATTTATACTTTTTATTTTGGGACCTAATGGTGGCATTCCTAAATAGATGGAGAAAGGGACAGTCTGCACTGTCTCGTGGTGCGGATGCAGGTGGCATGTAGAGCAATAACGGTGTGCTGGGTGCTGGAATGCTCTCTGTGTTCCATCTTCTGGTATTGAATGAAATAGTAAAACTATAGCACCGGCCTGGCTGGGAGAGATGGCTCAGGTATTGTTCCATCCAGCCACTGATCAGCAATGGTGAAGATGAGGGTTATTGTTCCACTCAGCCACCAACTGCACATACTGGGGGGTTATTGTTTCAGTCATCCACTGACCCCAATGCTGA